GGGGAGACAAACCGCAAGAATCGTTTTGCTTGTGCACTGGAGGGGTGACAAAGGTGAAAGCTCTGTGTACATAGAGAAAAATAACTTTCTGGCTTGGTAAAGAGGCAAAAGTGTGTCTCTGTTGGTAGAAAACCCAAGAGTTCATAACATGGAAGAATCTCATTTTATTGTGTGTCTCTCTTCAGCTTCGCTTTGATGTTCACCCATCATATTTCACTCTCTTGCCTCTGTCATGAATATTGAATGCTAACACATATGACACAGAAAAAATACAGATAATAGCGCATAAAGTTCCCTCTGATGTCAACCGAATTTTCCTGTGAAGTACAAATTGAAATCAGTCACAGATATTTCCTTCTTGTGCTACATGAGCAAAAAAGGGTAATCAAATGTTTACGTGCTTTGCAAAGATTTTTACCTGGGAAGTGTTTGATCAAAGGAAAATCCCTTGCAGTATTTTTCACGCTTCATTTTTTTCATTGACGTGCACTTAATTGCTGATAAAGCTAGAGAGAAAAAATGCGAAAATATCGCTTTTCACCACATGAGACAATCTATTAACTCGCACTTTAGGTAGCCAAACAAGATGAATTGTGTGAATAAACAGTCAAATATGAAGTTAATTATAGTTCACTAATATTTCCTCAGTGTGCGCCGAGTATTTGCCAGCACTTCCATGCAATTTGCAGGCATCTATTCCAACAATTGCATCGACTCAGCATCCCAATCTTCAAGTTTTCGAGTGATGGTTGCACAACTCACTGGAGCGCATTTGTGCGCTTTCCCCTCAGACTTTATTAAATTGTGTACACCACTAACTACCTCTCTGGTGAGCTTTGTTCTACACCCACACCCGCGTCACGAATGGCAGGAACTTTGCCGTGAGCGCATAATGCATGCACTTATGAGTGCAACGCTCAAATACAACATATTATACTACAAAGTTTCTTGTGCCAAAGAAAAACAGCCACCAAATTCTAACTCCGCACAGAGTGAAACTTCATCCATGCGCTGGTGTTTGCAATTTTTAGCACAAGCAAAAGATATTTCCCACGGAATTGTCACACGAAGCTCAAGAACTTTACCAACCACACATTACCAATGCGAGTTTCCCGCTTCTCGGGCGTGTAGAATTCACTAATTGTTTCACGGTAAGTCTCGTGGAAATTTCCAATTTTTCCACCCAACTCATGAATATATCGAGCGACTTGGGTGTAATTGGCGGTGAAAACTTCCACACAAAAGCTCATTGTAGCGTGAAAATATTGCACCTCCGGAATGTCTTTTGTTATGGTAAAATTCGCACCCATCAATTTCAGCTTCGAGAACGTCTGGATTGATTCTTACAATTCACGCACAAATTAAATGTGATCACTAGACTGTTTATTTCCCACACCGGCAATAAAGTTACTTACATGCTTTCGCCTGTTTGCCTTTCGCCGCGCGCTGTTTTCCCAGTATTGCAAAGGTGAGATGAACGGGACAAGAGTGAAATTTCCACCCCTTTTTTGTTCACTTAATTTGCTCAGTCAAATAGACAGAGGGTGAAAAATTGAAAGCTCTCGTCATGGGGCGTGAAACACCAGACGCCTCCATTCACTGGGAATCCCTTTTGTTGTTCTCACGTGAAAAGTCACGTGAAGTGCAATTAATTTTAGTTATGTCCAACTCAAAATGAAGTGAAACACGTTGAGACAATCGACATATTGCTCACAATGCGGAAGTGACTTCAATTACGTCCCTTTTGCATTTTGTTGCATCATAAAAGACCAACAATTGTGCATATTTTCACATTCTATCCAATCCAATTCAGACAATTATTGGATAGAGTGTGCTGCATAAATTGCTGGGTTCCTTTAAAAATTCAACGCGAAAGTGTGTCAAGAGAATTCCCTAAGCAGATGAAAAGTGAGTTGAATAAAATTTTCGCGGGCAAGAGAGAATCCTTTGGGGATGCTGACAAATTCAAGCAATATCGGTGAGACATTTACGACACTTTGGCGGTGCACACTTGCAAGTGAGAATGTTGAAATGTGGCGACGTGTTCATTAATTGAGGGCAACGCGAAGGGACTTTTTCTGGGAAAAGAGACTAGCGCAATTTATATGCCGGGAAAGTGGGTGATATTTCATATTAACCCGTGTTCACATGCCTGAGAATCCCTCGTCCGCAAAACACTGACAATGGAACTGGTGTCAGGGGTGCGATTTGCCGGTGGAGCTCCATATTAAATTACACATAGGAGAATTCAGTGTGGGTGTAGAGAGCAAGTGATTGATTACTTTCTGATGCCCGCAACAAAGCGGTCGCGTTTCGGTGGATGTTACAATGGAAGCTCAAGTGGGTGGCGGAAAAAAGCTTTGGAGCGCGGCGTGAAAAAGTTCCACGCGGAGGAGGGAAAAAAAGTGGCGAGAATACACAACACCCCATTGAGAAGTGTTAAAAAATTCCGCCATTCAACCACCACAATGATTGTCACTTTTTTCCCGCCACTGCAACTTTTCGTCGCGCTTTTGTGGGAGCTTTTCTCATGGGTGGGCCTTCAAAGATGCCCCCACAATTGTAAATTCGCCAGAGTACTTCTGGTATGGTGGAAAGTTTCTCCATGTCTTGCGCGGGAGTGAGAATGCGAGAGAATTCTCGGAGGAAATCAAATTAAGAACTTTTTCCCTGATATATAAATTTCCTCCCAATCAAGTGACGTGCATTGAATGCCTTCATAGATTTCCTACTTCACTTTCCGCCCGAAATGATCATCGCGCACTTTTTTTTCATCATAATTTTCTCATATTCCATTCATTACCCGTAACTTTCTCCACGCGCTAACATTGATAGACTTTCTTTCCCGTGACAAAGTGAGCATCCTTTCAACAGGAAAATAAATTGACATTTCGTGCTCATTTCATTGATGGCAGGCTAAGTACACTCTCAGATTCTTATCTCAGAGATTTCACAGAGATTTTCTGGGAAATGTTTGTTGTGCCAATTTAAGAGAGCTTCTAAATGGGTTGACGAAGACTTCTTTTCACAAAATATTTCTACGGATATTTGTCTATTTGGTCATTGACGATGATCAAAGGAGAAACTTCAAAGGACATTTTGGAAGCTTTATTCTCAGAGATAAAATGCATGGCGAAATATTATTTTTCAGAAGAGAATTCGTTCAGAGATGTATCGTTCTTGATTTGATTAATATTTTATGTTAATTTTTTAGTTGAATTACGTTGTGTATTTTGTGAATTTTCCAGCATGTTTTGCTAAGAATTTCACATTGAAAGCAATAATGTGTCCGATTTAGAACAAAACCAATTAAATAAATACCACAAAGTGATTTTTGGGAAAAAATTTAGATAAATTACACCGGAAATACATTTATCAACTTCATGTTCATTGTATAGATAAAAAGATGAGAAACCATGTGCAAATTTGTATCCATATCGGCCGAACGCTTTTCAAGTTTGCAGTCCATTGATAAAAGCGCCCGAGAGATGCTGTGCGGAGATTTTGGGAGCAAATGAGGGAATGAATGCCTTCCGTGGCACTTCCCCGAGGCCACGGAAAAGTTTGTCACACTGACGACCACTGCTGAGAGTGGATATTTGTATGGAGAAATGCACCCTCGGTATCATGTACACGTTGCCGCCATTGGAGATTAATGGACTCTACCTGGACTCAGAGGAGGAGAATTTCCCTTCGCTGTGGGTGTTCTCGTGCTGCACACACACACCTTTCCGACTAAATAAAGTTTTCAGTTATTCATGGTGCATAATGAGTCGCCTCCGGATTACAACTGGTGGCAAATCAAATTGCAGACAACCCAGCTTCGGGGGGATTTTCCTCCGCTGCCAGCAGCCCTTTTTTGCTTCCCTCGAGCTGCCACACAATAAAACAACCACCGGCAAAAACTCACCCTCAATTACGCCAATTTAATTACAATGTCCAAAGTAATTGCCATTTGAATCTCTTTTGTGCAGTGCACTTTTTTCTCCATGCCACCAACTAAACCGAGAGCAAATGAAGTTGCAGAGAAAAAGAACGCATTGCATAAATTATTGAAATTATTTTTATTCACTTTTCTACAAATCTCATGTCAGACCGCCTCTGCATCCATTCTCATGACTGGGCAAGGGTTACACTTATATTCTTTTACTGTGAATTTGCGAAAACATAAATCAATTACACCTGCTTCGTGGAAACACAAAACATATCATTCAGTGATACGCCAAATAAATGCCAACAATCCACTCACATCCAGTCACACTATAACTGTGTGTTATGTAAAATGTTTCACCCGAAATCTCGCTTGTAATCATCCCTTTTTTCCCTCCAATTTCATCCCCATCTCCCTTACAATTATTACACATTATTATGTATATCGTGGGCTTAATGCAATATCAACACTGTTGATTACATTACAGAAGTCAATATGGGATTAGCTAGTCGATTAGTGCTATTTGAAAACAAATATTACCTTCATTATCCACTTTGTATACATTTCATGATATTTATATTATTGGTATTCCATATAGTTCATGTGGGATGCCTCTCTGGGACACTGTACTGAGTTTATTTACAGAAGAGGAGGGACTATGATGTTACCAAATAAAGCGACATTTATACGAATTTCCTCTTTTGATTATATCTCTTTTCCCCCAATTGCGAATTGACCTTTGCCAGGACTGAAGAGTGGTCGCGTGTTTGCACTATCCTGTCTAATGTTTGACGGGAATTTAAAAGTTTTCAACTGCACAACCAATGGGAAGTTCCCATTTATAAACGACCATGTCATTGTAAAGTTCCTCGCTGGAGTTCTCGAGCACGTAAAAGTCCCTCAATAAATCTCAGGTGAGGAGCTCAAGGTAACTGTGAGAACATCCTTCTGCAATATTTTACACACGGCAATACACAGCGTTTTATAGTGACGGTTAAATGGGATAAAAGTCAACGAATGAGCGTGTATGTACAGAACATGAGAGATGGGATGACTCAGTGGCCGGGAGTTATAAGAGACAGAAGACAATCACAAGCCAGAACAGAATTATGCGGAAGACCAGACACTTGTGGCAGCCACCGAGGAGGATGGCGCTCCCGGTGAGGGCAGAATTGTCCGGATCACCGCGATTTCCGCCGCCACGCTGATCTGTCGTGGGACTCACTTTGCCACCGTAAGTCGGTGGGTTTTCCTCCTGCACCTCCAGCTCCATCTCGGCTGCTCCGCGATAGAGCGTGAAGATGTTCGTCTCGCACCGCAAATGGAGACTCCGACGCGGGTGTGGGTGAATCACAAACAGGTGACCTTGGTGGGATGAGTGGGCACCACTCAGGACGCTGTCCACATTCACCAGCAGCTCAGAGAAGGCTTCTCTTGTCTCCCACGATCGCACGACTCCTGTGTCCCGGAAACCCGACGTGGAGGACTATTGGAAAGAGTACAGAAAGTAGTAGACAATTAGACTCAAATTGTTTTGTTCCGTCTACTCTTATGCCCCGCCTTTTAAACTTTTCTTTTTTGCAAATAGGTTTTCTAAGTGTGTAAACCCCTTTTGTGCACGCCCAAGGCGACAGCTTGACTCAATCTCTGAAGGAAATCTCTGGCGGGAGGAGCGAATGGGATTAACAGAGGTGCTTAGTGTGCTTACCGGATATTTGACACCATTTATTCTCCATGTGAAATTGACAGGCGGATATGAAGGTCCTGAGATGCAGCTGGCTTTGAAGCGGTCACCGTGCTGAACCACCCGCCGTCCTGCCGGGTCTGCCGTCACGCCGAACAGCGACATTACCGGCTGAGACTCCGGCAGTCTGGCCACCATCATCTTGGCTGATTGATGTTCAGTGTGAAAGAGCGGAGCATCGGCGGACACTTCGCACTGATACGTGCCGGTGTGGTTTCTCGTCAAGGATCTTATTGTTACGTTGTTGGCGTCAGACTTTTTCAACTGCAATGGAGAAGTGGCGAAAAAATGTTGAGAAATTCTTGGAATTAATAATCTGATGAAATGGAATTCCCGCTGTGAATCAATTATGCGTGATATCGAGAGATATGCAGCAATTTCACTCACATCGACAGAGACACCAGCAATCTCGAAGACTCTGGCCGGCGGCTCCTCCTTCGGAACGTATCGATAGAACTCCTCTGCGTCCCTGTACCATCTCACCAGATACAGTGCATCCTTATATCGATCAGCCAGCAGCGGTGAAGGGGGAGCCAAAGAGAGGTACAGATAGTTAGAGACAAAAAAGCCCCCCCGGAGGAAAAATGTTATTAACATTAATTCCTTTGATGGAATATCTCACGAGACGGAAGGAATTAATATCCTTCCGTCTCGCGTGCGAGGGAAGTAGCATTTTACAGACACTCACATTTTCTAGGTCATACTGGCAAGATAGCGTCACTGTGTCTCCATCAGCTACAGCTTCTGGTACAGATATCTTGAGATCCTTTAAGCATAGCACTGGAAATATGAGAGCAGAAAAAGGGGTTCATGTTGGAGGGAAAAAATGTAATCAATGAATATGTCGTGGTGATGCCGCCAAAGACAAAAACACCCATCCTCCCATGCAATCTCGCTTGTTCGTGGCAAGAAGAAAACGCCCCGCCAGAAGAAGAGACAATACATTACACAACACTGACGCTACATACGTCCTGAGCGAGCTGTTGACTTCCAGATCAAGATTAGGCAGTGGTGATGGATCAAGAAATGCCGCCAAGCATGCGCTCAGAGATCTTGACATCTATTCAAATTTAAATCAAGATTGATCTTATAATTTGTATTTTAAAATTTTTCATTCAAACTCAATTCTATTCTCAACTCTACCGTGAATCAACTGCTCGTGTGCAGAAGGGTGAGTGTCACACCAAGTCCTGTCCTACATTGTCGGGGACAATGTTCAATTTTGGCGACAGTATCATGCAGTTTCCGGGAAAGATGTCATTGTCTAACATCGATTAAGCTCGATTACTGACCATACTCTTTCTCTGCAGGCTCAGACGAGAGTGGCACCAAATTGAGATATATGAGTATTTGTAGTGGAATTTAAATTGAATTTCAAGAGCATCCCAGATAGTGAAGCGCTCAGGGAAGCAATCTTAAAATGTCACGCTTTGGCCAACGATGCTGGAATCGTCCAGTGTGCCTTTTTAGCTGATTGAAGAGGGTGTGTGGGCGGGGTACTTTCATTACTATTGAATATTTTTCAGACAATTCGAGCAGCATCTTTTCCATGCGAGCACAAACACTAATCGATCGGCGGAAGACCATTTTGGGGGTAAATTGTCCTCAATGCGAGCTCGGGAGGACACATGCCAAAATGAAATTGTGATCAATGTTGTGAAACACATAAAAATTCGAGGGTGACTCTCATTTCGCAAGAGAGGCGGAGAGATGCCTTGAGATTGAAAACAGCCCATCCCCAAAATGTGCATAATCTCATGGTGAAATCTGACGAAGATGGCAACCGAATTGGGAGAGTTTGTTTTTAAAACATTCCACATTTCATGGAATCATCAGCTAAATTACACTCTGTCTCCAATCTCCAATTCCATTCATGGCTTTCGATGGTGTGAGTTGGGAGGCGTTGAGATTAAAATCAGTCCTCATAGATTGTGTCACGAATCATTTACCTAATTTTGATCTACACACCCAAAATTTCTCAGGATATTGAGTTGATGGATGGGAAATTTGTGTCGAGACTGCCTTCCTTCTTGCGGAATTCCATGACGAGTCACTTAAGGATTGAGGCAATCTTTCAATTCAGTAGCGATGAAATGATTAAAATCGAGCTTTTGGGATTCAATGCTCACAAGAAGTTATTATAGAGATTGGATGTGATTTGGGAATTTATTTTTATCGAATACTGAGAATTTCAATGTATTAAAGTAATTTAATATTCGACGAACGCAATTCGTGGAATACAAAATTATACTGTCCCTGAGAAATATGATCCTATTTGTGAAGTATTTATAATGTCAATGAAGCTGAACAAATAGTTCTTAAATGTCAGCATAAAGTTGCTCCTGTTCTTTAGCGTAGCTTATTCATCGTCATTGCCAATTATGGTTGACGAGTCATTGAGAACAAAAAAGGCGAATGAAGCCCATTTTCCAGGAACACCCCATCAAATATACTCACAATCATTTGATGAATAAATAAAATTTCAAAAAGCCATTCAATTCGCCTTTGTAGGGAAAATCATCTGCCCTTATTAATAAAGTGGTAATGAGGCTTGTATAATTTGAGCAGAAGACTCGCAGAATTTGCTCTTTTGTGCCACAATTGCGATGTTTTGGCGGATGATTCGGTATAATTTCCCATGTCAGATTTTCACAGTGGGTGGGCATGAGGTGGGAATCCTCATCAGACTAAGTGAGATTTTCCTGATGCTTCTTCCCTCAGGGGTGGTGGATAAAGTTTATTGGGTGGTAAACGAAGATGAATTTTACGATTTCATAAAATTCGGTTATTGTTCTTGTGTGGCAAAACCGTGTCGTCAGCTTCTTTTCCATCTCGTCTTGTGTCTGTGTCCATTGAAAAATTTCCCGACCATGCAAACTTCTGCGAACCCCTTTTGCCATCCTCCCACTCTGGGATATTAAATGGGAGAATGTGCCTCCAAAAGTGATTTGGTCACGAGGGAGTGTGTCTTCCTGGAGAACCCTCTGTGAAATTTTCCATATGCATAAAATCAGCATAACTCCGCCAGAATTGAGAATTTCATCCCAAATGGGACGTTTTCTCCAAAATCATATTTTCATCCTCAATCGTGTTTTCTTGTATCCTTCCCTCATCTTTTGCCCTCTCTTCTCCTCTGCTGCCGGCGACGAAATTGCAAACATTGTTCGTGATTTGTGTCCACAAATGCCGACGACAAAAAATCATGACAAAATTCATACTTTCACCTCCTCATGCTCAGCAAGAACACTTCCCAGACTTTACACACACACAACATGCTAATTCGCCAAAGTGCCAGAAGGACTTCCACATCAGTTTCTGTGTGGAATATCATTCTCAACACTCTGCAAGAGATACTCTGTGACACTGAAAATTGAATGCACGCCTCGAAGTCAGAATGGATGCTCTGCAGCTCTAGGGGAGGATCCCTTGTGAAATATGTTGCAAGAGTGGCCTCATATGCTGCAAGAGCTCCTTAAGTGCTGTTACATTCTAATTGAAATATCGCTTCCATTCACTCTGCAATTTTTGGACGGGCGGGATGCACTGTTGTCGGGGAGACACTTTGATTGCTCACTGTAAATCGCCAAGGGGGTGATATGAAAACAATTGTGCTAAAGCTATCAAAAAACATGAGTAGTGTAGTGGAAGTATTTATAAATATTCACTAAAGCGTACAATTAATTTCCCCCGACAATAACCATGCAGCTCCTCAAAGTGTGTGTAACTCTTTCAGACAATTCTCTCATGCACTTGTACAGTGAAAAATCCTCTTTTCTCCACTCCAATTCCATTATCCGCAGAATAATCCATTTAATCCTCTCCTTCATCCATCTATCAAGCGACAACGCATTTGCATCCAAGTATCTCGACCATATGCATTTGCAATTACACCAACTGGTGGGATTAATGTCTCTTTTGGAATTCAGCACTCAACTTGGAAGAGTATCTCAATTAAATATTGCGAATTTGTAAATTATTTAAATAATTGTTGCTGTTTATAATGTGCACGAACTGTATGTGGTGTGAATGCACATTTCCATACACTTTAACTGCGATATGTGTAGAGTTTAAAGTACTTCACAAAAGAGCTTTTGTTATACATATCACTGGGTTGGGAAACTTTTCCCCAGATTATGTATGAGCATGCACTGCATTCATAATCCCAGGGCGGTGTCAGAATAAATTTGGCCGCGTGTGTAGAGAGCTTTTTCGAGACATAAATTCCATCATTTTGCATAATAATATCAATTCTCGTAATCGAATTTAACGACGCAATCGATGGTTGTTGAATAACACGCAACAAAGCCGGTGGATTCGATATTTATTAAAATACATCCCGCGCCCCTTCGCGTGACCATTTCCTATGTTCCGCATGCAAAAAACATACGGACAGAGTGGTAAAATCTATGTCGATGCATATGCTCCATTCACAGAGCGCGGTCTATTATTTTTGGGAGCTATATTTTTCGACAACACCGCATTTTTTCCCATCCGCCCACTTCTTCCCTTGCACACACTCTCCTCCACCCTGTGGGATCCATAAATGCAAATTCACCCCCTATGCAAAAAGCCACTCCCCCGCCGAATGTTTAGTTATAATAGAATGTGCATCGTAAAATTTCAAGCTATCACCATCAATATGTTTGATATATATTTTTGCATAAATATTTTCCACTCTCTGACGATCAGGAATAACCATCTCGCTGACTTATAGTCGTGATGGTGCGAGGATAGGAAATGAAGTTGGTTTTGTGGAGATACTTAAATGTCACTTCAATTTCGTATGCGAATATTTTCCGCTCATACAATTTCGCCCCATCGCATTCAATTGGGACGAAATAGTGGTGCTTTTGTGTTTTACACATCATACCAAATGCATGTGAGATAAGTCGGAATATTTTTGCAATATCTCACCTTTTTGATATGGCCACAGAATGGCAAAAAGTGTAGATTGAAGCTAAATTTGTGCAAAAACGTAAATTAAAAAAAAAGAAATTTATTGCAAAATATAATTAATTCATAACAACTAATTATTAATTTATTTCTATATTGCAAACCTCATTTTGTAAGGTGTCGGCGTAAAGTTGAGTAATGAAAGAAAATCTTTCATTTACATTTCCATCTCTGCGTTCCATCAACTCTGACATGAAGATGGAATAAATATTCGACAGTTTGCACCATTTTCAATATAGTTTTCTCCTATGTATTCTACATGACTTTGGAGTTGGTGTTTGCAAATGGAGCATTATAGCACTTAGGACACCCTTCTTTCCCCATTTGCGCCACACGCAAGCCGCCAACCCCGGAGAACTGGGACACTCTGAGGACGGAGAGTGTGAAGTAAGCATCCCCAGGTCAACATCTTATTTTATTGTGGCTTATTTCCCTCTCAGTACGTTTCAGGGACTTGACTACATAATGTATGTGCAGATAAGATGCTGTGACCCTTGATAATAATATTCCTGTGTATAAATCCCGTGAGGATGGCCGTTCTCTTGGATGTGCTAAATCTCAGCAATAGTCACACACTCATTTTCCATTGTTCAACACATGAGAGCGAAATATTTGCCGCTTCCGGCTCCAGGCTTTCCCTGGAAAATCTTCCGATGCTCTCTTTTGCACATTTTGCTAACTGAATTCAGCTTGAGAGTTATTGCCTTGAAATTCAAGAGAAACCACTTGAAAGTTCCTCCGAACGCGGGTGGAATGCACTTTTCTGTCAGCTCTTCAGAGTCTCATATAGTGGAGAATTGTGGCTCCACCAGAGAAAATCTGCGGGA